AACTAAAATAAAGTCATTCACATGACTCTTCTACTTTCAAAGCTCCTGATGAATAGCTGGAGGGTTTTGCAGCAGCAGTCTTGAAGAAGAGGTTAGAAAATTATCATGTTCCTGCTCCAGTGATATGCATCATAATGTTTTCCACCACTGCATAATCTGTGTTGCCAGCGCTAAATACTGTGATTTGGTTAATTTAGGGATTTATGACGAAGTGTAATCTGGCTTTCACAATCAGTACTATAGCAGGAATAGCTTTCTCTAACAACAGGGATGCCTGTAATACGGCAAATTGCTGGTGCTGCTAGAGAAATAGTTTCTTGTTATTTTGTTAACCCAAGGAACTCAAGATGGCTGCTTTAGATTATGCAGCAAACTAAAAAAGTAGGGATCCCAGGTTCTTCTGTTGTTATGAGTCCTCAGTGAACATCTTAATGTAGTTAGTGATAAATACAAATATTTCCCATCCTAAGATGCAGTTCAAGGGATCAGTCTGATACCATCCATAACTGATTGCATAACACAATTCCCAATGGAGAAGTGAACAAATAGAATGTTATTAAAAAGAATTTTGTGTCATTTTTTCACATAAAACATTTACTGAGGTTGCTGAGTGTATGTGACAGATGGTGCTCTTATGTCACATCCTATCTTTCATTTTGTTTTGCAACATGCAAGTCTTCCATGCATGCATAATTGCATTACAACATTGTAGGGGTTTTTTGTGTACTCACTGAAACATGAAGGAATAATCCAATGTAAGATCTTCAATGGGAGGTTGTGCTAGAAGCGCTGTTAAGCTGTTTGCTTTGGTGTTAAGTGCTGGCTAACTAGTATGTTTTATGATTTTTGCCTTCTTAAGGTAAACTTGAGGTGTAAAGGAAAAAGTGAGATGTTATTATCATTTAATCCATCTGTGAATGTATTCAAGTAACTAGAGAGATGATGTTCAGTACGTAAGAACTATTTTTGCTCCACATTCCGAAGCATATAAAACCAATAGTTCCCTCACAATGATAGAATGCAGGTATGTTTGAACTTTCCAGCTTGAGTAGTCTTCAGATGCCAATACCTTAACATTTTATAGTGTCAGTTAAGTATCGTTATGATTCTAAAATTGGAATGATGAAAAATATATCTTAATTTTCATTATATGTGGCATTACTTTTCCCCTTTCAGTTACCTGGAGAGTGAACTTGAGCATGACTTCATTAGAATATTGCCAGCCTAACTATTTAATTTATATGGCATCCTGAATAGCTTCTACTTTTTCTTTTATGTCTGGACTAGTGGATGGAACATACTGGACTTCGCTGTTGCCCTTGGCTTACATTGAGAAAATTCATCCATTTGTAGTTCTTTTTTAACTGAAGAGTGTTTTGCAAGAAATGTAGAGATTATCTCTATTTTACAAATTGGGAAACGTATGTGAGACATACAGAATGTGCAAAGCCAACAAGCTGATAATGTTGCTGGAATTTTTAACTTGAGTCTTACCTCACTTCTAATTTTGACTGGTGACTCTTGATGCTTCATTGTTGTTTGTATGTATGCATTCTTCCCTTACAGTTAAGGCAAAATACAGTTAAGTAAAATGAAGGTAGTGAGGACATCTTCTCCATAATACAAAAAAGACAAAGGAGACACTTAAACCAAGACTAATATTTCCACTCAATGCATTGTCAGTCTCGGAGTCCTTTACTACCTTTAATGCTGTCATAGTTACATAAATTCATTTATACCTTCTTTTATTGTATTTCAAACACAGTTTTCAAAAATCTAATTGACTGAATAGCTGTCCATTGCTGCTTTGGCTTCTGTCGATGAAGGCAATTCATGGTCAGGGTTGTCAGCTAACTGTATTGATATGCTGTTAGTTGATTCAGTAAGTGCTGAATATGACTGATTCTGGTCTGGTTTCGCAGTGAAGTCTTAGACATCGTGTTTGGTTCTTTAGAACATTGGGCAAGTAAAATTGTAAACATGTTATTTAAATTTTTGTGTGTATTCTGTGCTTTTGAAAATTATTTAATCGTAATCCTAACTTTTCAGCACTACACTGTGCAATATTTCCGTAGCATTTGTAGTTTCTTACAGCATCAATGTGCATTGACTGTGACACAGCGTACCTGATGTTTCATCGTAAGATAAATCAACCATTGCAGTATTGGAAGTGTAAAGGCAACTATACTGATCATGCCTGGTAAGCGAAATGTGCCACCTTGCCAGGCTAAATTGTACTGCTTATGCTGTATGAAGAGCAAAAGTACATCAGAAACCAACCAGGGTTTTTCCCTTTGGTAGTATAAAGGTGATGTGAGTAAAATTACAGTCTCAGGCCAAAACCTGCCTAAAGGAACTGAGAAGGTTGTGTGTATCAACTTCTTTATCCTGTGTATAGCTGCAAATGTCAAATGAGCTGTATAATAGATGGTTGCTGTCAAACAAGTGATAGGATGCAATGAGACAAAATGAGCAGCACATGACTTATTTCATGCAACAACCTTCTACTTGATTTCTCTTATTTACAGTGTACATAGTTTTAAATGATCAAAGCTAAAGAACGTGATGTATCTTTTTAAGCTTTGAACATGGCTTTGTAAGCCAATGTGTACCTTTTCATTGTGTTAAATAATAGTTGGGTTATGAGGAACAGGCCACTGAAAGGTCTTCCACTGCTTCATATTGCATCTCATAACAATATATACTTCATGCAAATTTGTTGTTGGGCAAACTAATTTTTAATTGATGTCACAAGTAATTGCTACTTTCTGCCTAGTTTAACAACTGTGTACTGAACAAGTTGCTTTTGCCCCGCCAATAGCCACTCTTTGACAACATGCTAATATAGACAAAGGCGGTAAGGTATAGTTTGTAACAGCCGTAAACTTGGTGATAGCACTTCTGATTCCTGTTTATTATGAGCCAAAGTTTGTTAAGTTAACTGATTGGCTGTTAATTAACATAATACTTGTTAGGACTTAAAGAAGATCAGTTAATGAAAACTTACGCTGAGGTGTCAACCATATTAAAATTCAATTATAGTCTGATCCTTGAGACTTTCAGCATTATGTATTACCATATCTTCAGCTGACAAATATTCTGCTTTGATTGAATAAATCTTGAATAATTTTCAGGTTCTTTTTAACTATTTTGAATACTTTGTTTTCTGTTTCCTGTTGTTCTTTCTTACCAAAACACTGACACATGAGGAAGACGTTTTTCCCCTTTATACGAATACCTTTTTTCCATTGTGTCTTTTGATGATTCAGTATTTGCAAGAGCATCATTAATTCCTTCAACAGTTATGAGACAAGTATGGGGCCATCTAATTTTTTGTAGGTCAAATTTCTAGTTGCTGAAAGTTAACTTGCTACCATGTGATGCTTTGCCGATTGGCTTTTTGAAGTCAGAGTTCTGTGGCCTAGCAGCTGGATGTTTGTATCACAAAATTTTAGTCTATTTGTGTCTAATTATCAGCTAGATTCTTAGGCTTATCGAGAGGGTCGGGCCTGAAAGAGACTGTGGGGCCCCGTACTCCTGGCTATTGGTGAAGTGTTCCCCGTTCTGTGAGCAGAGCACATTAGTTCCTGGTAACTAACAAATTAGTTCCCCAGTCTATAACATACCAGTGTCTAAGTGTGTGTGTGGGGTGCGTTCACATCGTTGTTAGTAATTTTACCTGCTTGATGGGAAATCACATGGTCCTGCAGTTTTTAGAAGGAATAAATGCAAAGACTTTTTTTTTTTTCTCTTGTTCTTTTAAATTGAATTAATATGGCTTTGTGGCCACAGTGACCTGAACTTCAGAGAGCATACTTTTTGGAAAGAACATACGTTTTGACTACCTGTGCAGCATAATTATAACAAGTCTTGGACACAGGCCATTGCTACAAACCTAATATGCAGCAAGAAATCAGCCATCATTGTGTAGAAAACAGCTACCAGTGCAGCAACAGCCTGTAATGAAGGACTGTAACAGCAATGTGGTGTGATAAAATAGGGTGGATTTGGGCTTTTTTTTTTTCCGCTGAGGTCTTTAGAGCTTCCTCATGCTTACAACTTCCTTTGATGTGTGTCTCTAGATGTGAAGCCTTTTGGCCTCCTGTGCATATGCCTTAATGGAGAACAGCAGACGGAGTCTGTCAGGTCAGAGCAGGAGCAAGAAGCCTCATCCTTCCACAAAGTAGCTAGATTTCTAAGCTAATTTTCAAGTCCTTAATGGTGTTTCTTAATAATACTTCATCGTTTGGTTGGTCTGTTCATTTTCAATCGTAAAAATACACAGACAGTTTTATGATATCCCTCTGTCATAAGGAGGAATAATTTAATGATTTCTTTATGTGGCTATGAAGCGTTTTTTCTCCCCCACTTCTCCCTTTATTATTCTTGTTCATGATCTTCACAGGTGTGGAGGGAATTGCAAGACAACTAAAGAGGCAATAATAAAAGTGCAGGTGTGCTGGATATGATTTCTTAGCCTATGTGATAATGTATCATTGAACTACAGCTCCAGTCAGCTAGTCTGTTCAGAAGCTTAATTAGATCTCTTACCCACAGACATCAGAGCAAGTCAATGTGGCATTGTTACTTCCCCATAGAGTTAGAAAATGATGAGAATAAGTCCTGTGGTGGTGAGGTAAAGGTTCCTTTGCTGCAGTTATGTCAGGAAGCCGTATGGGAAGGGAAAAGAAGGGGTAAGAGGAGAGGAGATCCCTAGAAAATGTGAGTCATGAAGCAGCTGTCTTTGTATGAAGGAGGAAATTTGTGAAATCCAGGCCCAGATTGTGGAGGGAGGCTCTGATTTTGTATATACTCCCTCTTCTCCTATACGTATCTTCAAAATGATTATTTTCTTCAGTCCCTGGTGTTTCTGTTGGAAGAATAGTAGCGTCCCTTGGTAAATGAATTGGGTCAGTATGTAAAGTGGTCTTTGTAAGTATGCAAAGTGTTCTTTTTCGTAGTAGTCCTAACACATCTGTTTTCATTTTGTTGTTTTTCAGCTGTATCTTGTTGGAGGATCTTTTGGACTCCGTGAATTTGCTCAAATAAGATACGATGTCCACAAGCTACATGGCAAGGTGGTTTTCTTTACTTTTCCTTTTCACGTCATTTTGCATATGTACTGTCTTCTAAAGGATTGTTAGGACAAGCGAACTATTGGTATTGGGGATTTGCCTTTCACCACTGGGCCCTGCTTCTACCTCTTAGGCAGTGAGTAGTGTAGGTAAGAATAAAGGGGCTGACATGATGATGAATCCTTTTATTGTCTGTGAAATGGATCAACATAAGTAATAGAAAAATTTTGTTCCTTTATTTGATTATAAGTGGCAATTCTGGATCCCGAGAAGGAAGCGTAGCACATCTAGAAGGAGGTTATTACACAGATACTGTATCTGATTTAGACTAAGAAAACTGGTATTTTAAAAGATTCTGGTTTTGGACAATACTTGGCGTTGAGTATATGATGTTAGGTGGTTTTGGGGGCTTGGTTTTGCATTGACTGAGATAAGTAAATACCATTAACATGCTACACCTTGTTCTTTAAGCTCTGTGAAAGAAACAGGAGCTAGTCTTTACTCAGTATGTTGGAATGTACTGTATGGAAGAAGCCTTTCTTCAAATGAACTGGAAACCTTCTGAATGAGGAAAATGGCTTGCTTACTAAGTGCTACTTACACCTCCAAGGTGTAAGTTCCAAATTGTATAGGAAATGATCTGAAAGGAGCATGTCAGTTCAGCAGAAAGTAATATTGGCTTTGTAACTTTGTAATATGCAGGTCTGCCATTGCAATGCAGAGAGGCTTTCTAGTCTCAGTGCTGCTGACTTGCAGGTGGCATGAAGCTTTTTAAAAGACTTTATGGCACTTTATATAAAAAATATTAGTGCAACACTCTGGACCCTGTGGCTTTCTACTGTGTTTAAATCTTTGAGATTCTGAGCTGTCGAGAGTTTGGAGACTCCCTTGTTTTGTCGTAGACTCTTGTTGTGGGCCACCTAAATTACTTTAATCATTCCTCATTGTTCCTTCTGTTGCATACCCAGCTGCAGCCTTTGAAGCACCATGTGTCCCACTCCTGCTCAGTCCTGTATTTGACATAGCCCATGGACAGGGGAGAAAATCTTACAAATCTTTTCTCCAGTGCTGTCTTCTGGGTAGTTATTTTCTGTTGGTCTGGGATTTTAAGACCAGTTGGAGCCTTGAATCTTTTCTCCAACTGGATGGGGATTACAACAGAGGCAAGAATTTGCCTGTTTTGTTTTTGTCAGTTTTTTGGTCAGATTCATACTCGGTGAATTACATTTGGCCTCCATAATCTGCACTGTGACTGCAGCCCAGGGGAAAAAACCAGTAATAGTTGTGCTCATTCAGATATATGAGGCTCTTTGTCCCAGCATTTATAATCAAGTGAAGCATCATCAAATTAGACAGTAGTACATGAAAGCTCTGAGGGGAAGCTACTGCACCCTGGAGTTCTTAAAGCTCTGAAAAGCTAAAAGAGGACATCTGGATTCTGCTCTAACCGGTATTACTTAAGGCTGCAGCATGTCTTTTGTGTTTTCTTTTCCTTTTCATTAGGATTTTATTTCGAAATAGATGAAATTTAAATAAAGAACAATGCAGTATTGTCTGAGAACTAACAACACCAACTTTGGGCTCATTTGTAGACAAAGCAAAGCAATGTGTTCATTGGTTTCTGTTTCTATGTCCATATAAATAGTTAAGAACCATCCTAATTCATTAAATAAGACATCAAAAGAGATCAGAATATAGACTCATAGAATCATTTGAGTTGTAAGGGACCTTTAAAGGTCTTCTAGTCTATCTTCCTTCTGCAACGAGCAGGGGCATCTTCAACTAGACCAGGTTGCTCAGAGCCCCGTCCAGCCTGACCTGGAATGTTTCCAGGGATAGGGCATCTACCACCTCTCTGGGCAACCTGTGCCAGGGCTTCATGCCCTCATTGTAAAAAATTTCTTCCTTATGTCTAGTCTAAATGTACCCTCTTTTAGTTTAAAACCATTACCCCTTGTCCTGTTGCAACAGGCCCTGCTAAAAAGTCTGTCCCCATCTTTCTTAGAAGCCCCCTTTAAACACTGGAAGGCTGCAATAAGGTCTCCCTGGAGCCTTTTCTTCTCCAGGCTGAACAACCCCAACTCTCTCAGCTTTTCTTCATTGTAGAGGTGTATATTTAAACTGATAAAGAGAAACAAACCTGGTTTAAAATGTACATGAAACTCAGGAAAAGAACAATGATCTATGTGATTTAAAAACTTATGACTATCATGATTTTTAATAGTTTAAGTTCTGTTTAATTTTTCATTGGTTAAAATGTTTTTGTGTTGGAGAAGAATATACTTTTCTCATGTAGCACACTTTGACCAGTGTAAGTCCTTATCAGAACAGGGACAAGTGATCCTTTTGGTGGGTTGTGCAGTTATATGCAAATTGAGATAGGCAATAAAATAAATAGGATTTTTTTTGGTTACAGTCACTCCTTTGGAATAATAACACTGTTTAATTAAATAACACTTTTCATACAGGGGACTAAAAGACTTTTACAGAATTTAAATTACTTAGGCTTCATAGCCATACTGTCAGAAAAGGCAGGATTATTATTTCCATTTTACTGGTGAAAAAATGGAGGTTTAAAAAAGTTAAGTGAGTGCCTATCTTTTTTGATCACGTTTTAAGGATGTGAAATCTGTAGTATGCCCCCTTTTGCAAGCATGACTCCTAAACTTGTTTTCTTGCTAATTCAACTGCTAGATAGACAGGACTTAGATGATTCTTTTGTGGTATATCTCTACTACATTTCAGATGCGAAACTATGCTCCCTTCCCTTCAAAAGTATTCGTCCTTTTCCGTTTTCAGTCTAACCATTCTCATCGTGCTGAGAGGGAAACCATGTTAGTAGGCAAGTGCTCAGTTGACAGTGATATTTCGAAGGAAGCATTATAGTAGAACTAGTGTCTTGTGTTTCAGTGACTACGGGGTTAACTGTCACTTTCTTTTTGTATTCTTGTGGCTTAATGAGCAAAAGCTGCATTAGTGATAATGCCTATGTATTTAATGTCAAACTGGCTTTTGAAGAACGTTTCTTGATAAAGGAATTAAAATTCAAGAGAAAATGGTGGTTTGGACTTTGTGGGGAGTATGGTTTGGTGATGATGCATTGGTCTGGGTCTAGGATTAGGGTTGGGAGAGAGACAGAGCCTAGAGCTGTAGCAGGAGTGTGGCTGAGAAGGGGCTGCAAAAGGAATTCTGTCCTTTTGTTCATTTGGGCTGTGTCTTGGGATCTTGGGCTAAGGCTCAGCTGATGTGTGGGACAGAGAGACAGAGCTTAGAGCTGCAGTTGAACTTGTGCTGAGACTCTTATTGATGTAAATGCCTGTTTATGCTAGTGAGAATTCTCCTGAAACTAATCAAGGATTTGTCCATTATCTATTGTTGCCAAAATGACCATTAATGGAAAAATCAGTAGGTTAGGCAATTGTTTCTTTTCTGGAAAGAATTTATGCAAATCAACATTGGATATAGAACACCAGGCATGCTTATGGGAAAACCATGTGTAATTAATGGAGAAAAAATGAGTATGTTTCTGTAGGCATCATTGCAAATGCCTTTATTCTCAAATAGAAAACTAGACTCTTTTTTTGTCTTACTTCTTGTTGTGTATGTAATTGAATAGAGATACGTATTTAAGGAGGTTTTTTTTACAAAAAATGTGACTTCTATTAAATATACAGAAAATTTTTCCATTCAAGTGTATGATAATAGAGTTGTTTTTATTTACTATGTGCCTGTTGTTGTTCAAGGCAGGGTAGAGACTTGCTGATTCAGATCTAATTTTGGATATAAGAATCTTGGACATGTGGAACGGTCTGTACTATTGGCTAATAGTTATTGTAGAGGGTTAAAGAGAAGCAACATATTAACTACCGGGGAAAATCTAGGTTTTTAGGCCATCAGGAAAACAATTTAGACCATAAAATAGAGTTTGTAAGCACCGAAACTGCATTGTTGAAGAAGTATTATGGCGAGGCAGGTTCTCAGAGCGTGGGGAGGGTATAGGACTAAGCAAGTTCCTCCAGGGTAGCATGTGGCAGAAGCACTTCTAGGAAAGCTAGAATCTCTAGGTCATTTTGTCAGGAAACAAAACATTGATTAGCCTTTGAAGTCTGCAGATAGTTCATGCCGTGGATTATGTATGACAATGTTGCTATACTGGCCTCTTAGTATTTACAAACTATATAGATACTGTTCACTTTTCCTTTGTCCTATGCAAAGTGAATGCACCTCAAAAGTAGAATGCTAAGAAATGAGAAGAATAATGTTTTCTGTCTTACTGAGGCAGAAAGTAGAGGCAGTCAAGAGTCAAAATGGCAGAAGTTCAATCTTTTCTCCTACATGAGTTTTACCCTTGAGTCAGATGTTGTGCATTAAAATATATGTGGTCATTGTATGGCATTCCAGAGTTACTCCAACTGAAAATGAAAATACATGACCTGTTCTTTCAGAATGCCATTCTCTATGAGCAATAAAACTGCAAACTGGGAAAGAGTATAAAAGGAGCAATGGTGGTGGTATGAAGCATACTCGTTAGTAAGCGTGCTAGGAGCGCAAAACTTACTTTATGCACACTGAGTAGATTGTCTTTAAAATTTCTGTAAAGGGAATGGCAGAGTTTTGAGCTCCTTAGCTAATCTTTTTGACCAATTGACTGGCATGTAATTACCTGAGATCTTGCTCATAAGACACCTGCAAGGTGTTAGTGTTGCCATTGTCAGTTCTCATTTACTGCATTTACTTGGTGTCTTGAAGTTCCAACTCATGAAATGATATAACTGTGAGGATTTCAGCTTTCATTTCATAACCCTAGACCTCAGAGCTGGGAAGAAGAGCACATATGGTGCATAGAGGATTATCCTTATGAGGAGTGGAAGACTAATATGATGACTTATGACATTCTGACATTTCACTGGTTTATAGCTCTTCTCATAGTTGGGCTTGATAGTGATTTAAGTGTGTTGACTGTCTGGTTGGTTATACTCAGTATTACTCAGTTTTAGAATGTT